TAGCTTCTAAATCGCACAACTCATCAGCAATAATGAAGGCGTGAGAAAAGCCAACAATTGTCTGGGTATCCCGAGTGATAGCCCAGAGGAAGCCATCCATGAATCCTCATATGTCAATGTGTGGCAGCTCATGCCAGTTCTGCCATCATTGCACAAGTAGCCCCGTTTTAGCGGGCTAGTGCAAAAGAAATTATCCCAGTCCGAGATGACGCGGTATTAGATTTCACATTTGGTTTAGAGTCTCCGCGTGTATGAGTCGAAAGCTTCGCTCTGCAAACTTACTTGGCCATCAGGAAATTACGAATCGTGCGTTCCTTTCCACTCTTAATGGCGAAGTAACGAGGCCATGCTCATGCATCGCGCGAGCGTCGTCGTAATGCCCCTGAACTGGCGGCATTTAACAGGAGATACCTCTAGCAAGCAGCACTATGCCAGAAAAAGGAGTGAAGCGAACCATGCTTGCTTTAAATGCATTCAGGCTGAAGAGCAGCTAAAAGCTCGCGGGTCTCCCACTCAGCTGACGCACTGCAAGCTGGTGAAAATGGCAAGAAGCCCTTGTTCAGCTGATAGCCGCGCTACAACACAAAAGGGGTGTCACTGAAATGCCCACCCAGGCCATGTACTTTGAATTCCGATAATGAATGCGGTGGAAGATAGGGCAGAACAAGATAACGCTGTGATATGACAAAAATGCACGTGGCTTTCGAGCTCTTGCTACACAGCGGGGTTAACAATTGAAGGCAAAGATGCAGTGTTCACGACAAGCAAATGCACGTCTGTGCGCCTAAGTAAATGAGTACCGTACTACAGCAGAGTAAAGTACGGTACTGAGCCACTCCTCTAGTCACCGTGTAGAGAACACTAGTGTCCGCCCGCTTCTCCTTCCTCTGCTTATTGCGCCGTCCATAGTATGGATGCAGGAACTTACTATGCACGACTGTCTTGATCCCCTCGCTAGCCGCCGACCCGTTAGCCCGCCCTTATCTTCCATCCTGGAATTCAGCGCCTTAAAGCATCGTAGAAGAACAAAGGCAACTGACGCTGCGGCAGCCAGGGTGGATACAAGAACAAGGAGCTTGGATGAGCTCCTGTATATGTAATTTTTTTGAAGAACACTCTTACAGTGCATAAAATCCTCACCATGCGGATTCACTACATCAGGATGAAAAGCAGAAACATAACGGCTCCTCTGTGAGTTCGTCGCTGCCGCCAGTGAGGTCGTCAACGCGAAAGCGAAAACCGAGTGGCACCATGTTCGAAACGCAAGCATTCTGATGTTAATTTTGAGCGTATGATGCAGGGACACGGCCAGAATCGGCATTCACGATGAAGATAACTGCTCTTGTGGGAGTGTCTTCCCACACTTCAGTTGACTTTGTGACGTGAAAATAGTGGACTCACTCAACTGAGTGCTTAAATTTTCATATATAATTTATGCCAATGCAACGTTGGGCACCTGCATAACTGGTCTCTACGGAGGGACTCGGTTTTCCGCCGTGCTCGATGTCCGTTGAGCAGCTCGAGTGCCACGCCAATGTAGACGGCTCTTCAGCTGTCCACAGCAGTGGCCTTGTAACAGTTGAAATTATTATTGTCTTTGGGATTTCTTTCATAGGCAACAACATTTTGATAGCCATTTTGATGGATGGGTGCCTTTTTGTGATGCCAATCTGGTACACCTGGAGAATTGGAACCGCATTAAAGCATGCTACACAGGATCAGGTCTGCTGTTTACTTGATGTTCATTTTTTGTTGCATAAATAGAAGAAAGTGCCCAATATCTGTAACATCCATAGCTGTAAGTCTCGCAATTACCCGCTTGCGCAGTGTCAGTGCGTGATGTCCGACTGACAGCTGTAAATCGACTTTGGATGATGTCACAAAATCGGCCATTAGTACTACCTAATCATCCCTGCATAAACTGTATATAACCTATGAACGTTCGTACCTCCAGTGCGACAGTTTATATGTTCTGTGTAACCACTCGTTGCACTGACGCTTTCAAACACCCGTCCATTGCACTGATCGCGCAGGTGCATTTTTCACAACCATGTGACTTGAATAGCCTAATGGAAATATCTTGCGTGGAGGATGCGGGTATTCGAATTCGCCCGCTGGGGAAGTTTGGGCTACACCTATTAGCGCAGTCGGTGCCTTTGTACCACAACCTACGTGTCCGTAAACCTAGCATGACCCACAGTCCCCTATGTTGTAGGAGCCGTCATAGCTGCAGTGCGAATCACCCAGTAATCCTACTCATACCGGAGGACGTTGTGCTTCTCAAAGAGCTCTGACATTTGCAATGGAACCTCAAGTCGTCTCCTTTCAAAGATGATACTGCTATCTGCGTTTAGTACATGTTTGAACTGCACAAGTGCCGTTACGACAACCGACAGAAGAGACTAAAACAGGAGCCAACCTTATTAAAAACACCCAAGTAGAACAAGGATCAGGTACGATTGAAAAAGTAGGGTGCCAGCAATGCAATTAGTGGATTCTTCTCAATAAAGCATCACCCAGCACTAAAATCCAACCGCTAGTGGACATACCTACACAGGTTTCGGGAGTGTATCCCATTCCTGTCTAGGCACCGGTATGATGGAAAAGCAGCATCTGTCGTCTGGGGATAAATAGTTACAGTGAGACAGTAATTGAAAGCGTTTTGTCAGTCTATTAGTTGCGTAATCGGGGACGCCTGCAATAAGTGAGTTTGCATGAAGTACGCACAAAGGAAAACACGGCTATAATGATCTGCAATACCTCTCACCAAGGTGCGCAGAGTTTCTTCAAGGAAACATCCAACTGTTGCAGCTATAAATAGAAGCGTGGAGCACATAGCGATGTCATTGTGTGTTTGCTCATTGCGTGAGGTCTACCGAGAAGCACGAAAGTTTTATTATTGGCGATCACGTTGTATGTAGCAGCTTTCCATTGATTTTCTGTATCCCGTAGACTGGTGGCACTGTCCCTTTTCCTTACGGAATATTTCTTTGCCCATGCAGTGGTCTCACAGGCGCCGTCCGGAACTAACGCGTTTCCTAATTTCCCACAGCGCGTGCGATTTAATCATTAAGCTAAAGCTGATTTTGTCTGTGTACAAGCAGCGACACTGAGCCAGTGCCCCTGCACTATTTTCTCTGCCAACCGTTCTCGCGTTTCACATTCCTTCTCGGAATAGTCGCCTCACGCTTACGACACTCAGAGCCACATATGGTGGAGCATCAGTAATGGTGAGCACAGTATGAGTTGGCGCCGTTCGTGGTAAGACCAATCGTTAAAATACGTCTGTTGCTGATTTATCTTTTTCCACTGTGTCAAAAAGCTGGCAAGGCCACTGAGGCACGTGCTAGAATATTGATCTTTATAAAAGAACATCGAACTGCTTTTTGGCAGGCGTTACGACCCTAAGGTGCCCACAGGACATTCCCGCAGAAAATAGCCGTGCAAATAGAGACGTACGTGGAGCGAGTGAAATTCTTCTTAGGCACCACGTGCATGAAAGATTTCTTTTGCATGCTTGCTATCTTCTTCGATGTGCAGACTTTGTGGATAGTTTGAAGGTCCGTCTACGCCGGTACATCTGCGGCTGTTGCTTTCAGGCGCATGCGTTTTTGAATTGAATGCGACGCATGCAACGAAAACAGGAACGCAGGCACTTCACGTTGCCGTAGAACCACAACAGCAGACCGCGGCGCAAGTCGGCAGCAGAGCCAACTAAGTCAACAATTGAGTATAAATGCTCGAAGATTCACGTCCAGCGTATGATTACAAAAATATAGACAGGAATTCAAGAAAATTATTAGCTTTCCATCTGAAACGCTGCTGGGTTACTTCCGTGCAAATTCCGCGAGTTGTCTGTACACTGCGGCAACGCAATAAGGCTGCGGCAACTCGTATGCAAAGCCGGGGCGATCTGTCTCTCAAAACGACACAAATGACAAAATTGAATTTATTATATTTTATATTATCATTATTATTGTTGGAATTTCGTGAGGAAGACCCCCTTGTGCTGTTCTGCTGCCTCTGGCATCGAGAGCAGTGTTCTGCACAACTGCTAGAAGGGATTCTTTGGAGGCCATACCGATACTTTCCGGCTTTTCTCTAGAGACTCCACCTAATTATAAATTGAATTTAAGCAAAGAACCCTTCTTGAAAGAGTTTTGGCTTTTCAAAACGCGGCTTGCCCGCCACGCCTCAAAGGCAGCAGCAACAGCAGCAGAGCGCCTATGTAGTGAACAGTTGTCTACTCTGTTACTACGTATGGTCCTTAGGCGAGTCCGACTAGGGTGCACACTCTGCACTGACTGTCAAAGGTACCTGATTCTCGCCAACAACTACTGAATACCTTGATTAACCACGTACAATTGAGTTCGTATTATTATGAGGTACGAAAACCCAGAATAATAGAACTGAGTGTCGACCCTCGCTGAGGGTCAGTGCCCGAGTCGCGGCACCAACCTCGCCTCCAGCCCCATACCCGGTGCTGGCTAGCGAGCACATTGTTCCCTTTTATGATTTTCCACTATCCAACGGCGCCTTATGCCTTAAGATATTCAATATTATTCATGCCTTTCGCGTTAGTAAGCCTCGAGGGGTGGCGACGGTGCCTTTCGCGTTAGTAAGCCTCAGGGGTGGCGACGAAGGTCAATTGTAGTTCCAGGCACTACACCCTAAGCCTGATTTGTTGCAGTACTGGATCTCCTTCTCTACAGCAGTTTTAATTATTCTTTAAACTTTGCTAATTTCAAGTATACATTTCCATCAATCAACAAATATATATTTCCATCGATTACAGAGCCAGCAATGGGGGCGATCAATAGATTGTTCACCGCGTGAGCAGCAAGGGCTCACTCCTCATGCCAAACGCTAAATCCTAAAACCCTAAACCCTAGAGCCTGAGCTTGGAGCAGTGGTTAAACTAGTTACGGTCTTCTAGTTCTCGCATACAACAAAGCCGCCAAACCCAAATCCCCAAGCCCTAAACCCTCAAGCCTAAAGCTTTAATCCTTCGTCCTAATTACAAAAGATATCAGACATGCAGGGTTTACCATTTCCTGCGATAGCAAACTAAAACCTAATTATTTCACCGGGCTTATCTTATGCTGAGGCCTAGGGTTTAGCGTCTGGGATCTGAGTTCTAGGGTTTAGGGTTTATGTTCTGGCTGCCTCTTGAAAAACACCCAAAGCGCAAACTTGCGCATGCAGCCAGATGCTAATAAGTACAAATTAATGTGGGAAGACAAAATAAAGATTGAAAAATAAAAGTTGTTGAAGAGGACCCTACACGCTAAATCCTGAAAAACAAACTAAAAGTGTGCAAAATAAAGCACTCAAAACTTTTTAAAATGCGGGCTTTCACGGGAAACAATTCATGAGTTCGCGGCTCATGAGTCTCCCTAAACCCTAAGCCCTAAACCCTAAACCCTAAATTCTAGCATGCACACAAGGACCTCACGAGCTGCTGCTGTAGCTGCTGCTCTGCTACTGTTGCTGTTGCTGCTGCTGTTGCTGTTGTTGCTGCTGCAGGTCGTTCGTTTCTTCCGCTGCTGCTGCGGTGCTCCCTGACGACTTGCTGCTGCAACCACAGCGTAGCGTTTATCTGTCAGCTTCCGTTCTTGCTGCTGCAGCACGAGTATTGTTAGCAGCTGCCTATTTTCGCTGCTGCTGTTGCTGCTGCTGCTCTGCTGCCGCGCCGGCCCTTCAGAGCTGCTGCTGCCGCTGCTGCTGTTGCTGCTGCGGGCAGGGGCTGGCTGCTGCGGCGCGCAAACACAGTACTGCGGTGTCTCCTCATCGGACGAGGTGCTGCTGTTGCTGCTGCTGCTGCTGCTGGCGGAGGAGCTAGATGACTTCTTTGCTGCTCCTGTTGCTGTTGCTGCTGCTGCGGGAGCACCGAATGCCCGCTGCGGCTGAGCGGCCGATGACTCTGTTTCGCTGCTGCTTCCCTTGGCACTGCTGCTGCTGCTGCTGCCGCTGCTACTGCCGCTGCTGCTGCCGCTGCTGCTGCTGTTGTGTTCTCTGCTAGTGTCACCACTGGCTTCGCTGCAGCTATCGCTGCTGCTGCTGGCCCTGCTGCCGCTGCTGCTCTGCTGCTGCTGCTGCTTTGCGGCAGGCTTTGCTTCTTGTGAGCCCTCCGAAGCTGTACCTACGCTACTATGAGCTGGCCGCTGCTGCTGCTGCTACTGCTGTGCTGCAGTTGGCTCTATTAAGCTGCCTGATTTCGTGTGGCTGCTGCTTTGCTTGCTGCCACTACGGCGTTCGCTGCCGCTGGCACTGGCGCTACCGCAGCTGCTGCTGCTGCTTTCTTCTTCGCTGCTGCTTTCCTCTTCCTCCTCACTGCTGCTGCTGCTACTGCTGCTGGGCGGCGGCTTCTTGCTGCGCTGCCTGCTTCAGGGCTTATTGCTGCTGCTGCTGGAGATGGAGCTGTCGTCGGACTCCGTGCTGCTGGTTTCTGATTCTGCTGCTGCTGCTTTTGCTGCTGCTAGGAGGCCGCATGCAGCAGCTAAAAGCCCCAAACTTGCCACTGCCTTCCGCATGAAAGAACCTTCTTTTAATGAGCGTCCTCAGCGGAGAACACCCCGCGCTGAACGCATGCACAAGCTTGGGTCTTCGGAATTTTCATGAGTCTTTTTAATTTCATTAAAACTTTTTGAAATTATTTTTCTCGAGTTTCTCCCTTTTGTGTTCTTTGCTCCCTTTTGCGCCGATGCATGCAGAGCTCTCTTGCAATGATTGTAAACCCCTGAGGGCCATTTCATTATCATTAAATAACCACTTAGTGTTTATTTATTTATAAAATAATAATAAATGAAAAAAGAATAACTAAATAAATAAGTAAATAAACATAAATAAATAAATTAATGTTTCTCACCTGCAACGCTAAGGGATCGATGGCAGCAGTCTTTCGGCGGTCGACCAACTGCAGTGCAGGAAAACCCCAAAATTAGGGTTTAGTGTTTAGGGATTTGTGATGAGTTGGAAACCTAGGAGCGAACAGGATCGGTTTCAGGTCCAGCGTGCTTACAGTTTAGGGTTTAGGGTTTAGGGCTTAGGGTAAAGCTTTTGGTGTCTCCGGTCTCTAAGGCGAAAACAACAAGGGCTAAGGATTAAGGGTTTGGGGTTTGACCTTTCCCAGCTCCGAAAAGTGCCTGTCTTTCAATTCCTTGATATCTGCTGCTTCTTCTGCACCGACTTCAGCAGCAAGAGAAGACTAAAACACAAGTGCAGAATAATAAAGTTTTTTATCGATTAGGGTTCGAATTAATATTTATAATTGTATTTAAATTACTTTTCAAATCCATGAAACGGATTTCTCGGCTTCACACGCTTCCAGACGTTTCCGGTGTATGAACACCCCAAGTAAAAAAAATTCATAAACCCGCAATCCTTTTCCTCATTTTTATGTTGAATGGATTTGCTTAGAATGAATATGCAAGTAAACATTTTTAAATAAAATATCTGTGAATGACTTAAATAAATAAATATATAAATTAGTTCAGCAGAGGCTTCAGGCCGCTGCATGCATTTGCATGCGACATTTGTACAGCAAAGACTTCGAAGAATACGCCCTAAGCCCTAAGCACTAAGCCCCCAACCCTAAACCCAAAACCCTAAACCCACGATGCTTACTTCGGCTATTTTTGTATCCATGGCTCTCTTGACATATTCCTGGTCAAGGTGTACAGAGATCCAAGAAACCCGTGCACTTTTAAATAAAACTGTTCAGCTCTAAAAGCAGCAGCAGCAGCAGCAGCACTGGGAATGGCAGCGGCAGCAGCAGCAGCTGCGCAGCAGCAGCAACAAAAGCAGCAGCACTATGATGAAGAGGGGGAGAAGCAGCAGCACTATGAAGAAGAGGGAGGGAAGCAGCAGCAGCACACGAGAAAAAAACAGCAGCACTATGATGAAGAGGGGGAGAAGCAGCAGCAGCGCACAAAAAAAAAGCAGCAGCAACAACAGCAGCAGCAGCAGCAACAGCGCCGCTACTACTCCTAGCAGCAGCACTAGCAACAGCAGCAGCAGCGCATGCAGCAGCAGCAGTAGCTGCAGCAGCAGTGGGCGCGCTGACATCCGCGTTTTTTGGGTCTGCTCTCGTCCCTCATTTCTTGCTCTTGGCACTGAGCCAGTGGATAAATGACAAAAAGACAATCAATAAAAGTACGGCTCAGGAATTAGGGTTTAGAGCTTAGGGTTTGAGGTCCCTCATTTCTTGCTTTGACACTGGGACAATAGATCAATAAGAGAACAAAATGAATTAACTTAGGGTTTAGGGGTCAGGGTTTAGGGTTTAGAATTAGTTCTTTTTGCGCTGATGCGTGGCTTTCGGGGTCTACTTGGATACTTCGTGGAGTTTAGAGTTTAGGGCTTAGGGCTTAATGCTTGGAATTACTTCTTTTAGCGTTCTTGCTTGGGTTTCGGGGTCTAATTGGATACTTCTGGGTTTTCCAAATCTTGCAGTGCTCGCCACCTGAAATTCTAAATTTAAATAATTAAAAAAGAAGGAAAAATAAAGGAAAAGAGACAACAGTAGTAAGAGGAGGTGGAAATAGATAGAAAAGAAACAAAATAATTGAAAGACCACTAAAAAAGCGGCAAAATAATTTTAAAAAATCGGACAAAAATAATTCAGCGAAGGGAAAAAATAAACAGAAAGAGACAAAAATAATTGAACAAGGAGCTACAAGCAAATAGAGGAAGGCAGCCATAAATAAAAAGACACAAAAGTAAATAAAAAGAGGCAAAAATAAATAAAAGGAGGCAAACGCAGAGAAAAAGAGAAAAGGAAGAGACAAAAGAAGATATAAAAAGAAAAAAGCGAAGATAAAAAAGGAGACAAAAAAGAGATTAAAACAATCAAAAAGGAGACATAGGAGAGGATAAAAGGAGACAAAAAGGAGACAAAAAGAGACATAAAGGAGATAAACGGACACAAAAAAAGGTTAAAAGAGACTGGGAAAGAGATTGAAAGATACAAGCAACGAGACAAAGAAGGAGATAAAAAGAGGCAGAAAAAGACACAACATGGAGGTAGAAATCGACAAAAAGAAGGTAGAAAGACTAAAAAGGAGACAAAAGAAGACAAACAGAGGGAATAGAAAAAGACAAAAAAGGGAAAAAGAGAGACAAAAGTAAAATCAAAACAGGGAAAAAAAGAGACAAATGAAAGATAAAAAGAGAAAAAAAGAGATTAAAAAAATCAAAAAAGGAGGAAAAAAAGAGGAAAAAGAGACAAAAAGATAGACAGAAAAGAGGCAAAGAAAAAAAAATAAAAAGAGACAAAAAAGGGAAAAGGAGACAGGAGAAAAGAAAGCAATCATGCCTTCCACTGGGCCTCTAGGAATTGTCTCTCTGTTTCCTTTTCAGCTTTTAATTCTTCTTTCTTTTGTGTCTGCTGCAGCTGCTGCTTCTCTTTTGCCGCCGTAGCAGCAGCACCGTGAGCAGCAGCCCGGCAGCAAAAGAGCAGCAGCAAAAGTCCTTTTTTCCTTTTTTTTTAAAGGGACAAAATGGCATTATTAAGAAGCAGCGGGGCAAATGCCAGAAAATAATAAATTAGTTAATTAATTGAAAGAAAGTCATAAATAAATAGCAAACAAATAGATAAGAGAAACACAAATAAACAAATAATAATAAATAATAAATAATGGAAAAGTGGAAAGGGGGCACTTTGAGGATATTTTGGAGACACTTTGGAGACACTTTGGAGAAAGCTGGGAGACATTTTGGAATCATTTTAGAAACTTTTGGGAAAAATTTTGAAGACTCTTTAGAGATATTTTAGAGGGATTTTAATTGTATTTTGGGGACAGTTTAGAGAAATTTTACAAAGATTTCAGAGAGGTTTCAAAAAGATTCTTAAGAAGATTTTTAAAAAATTTTTAAAAGACCTAGAAGCATTTTGGAGACAGTTTGGAGACAACTTGGGGACAATCTGGAGGCAGTGTAAAAGCAATTCAAAAATATTTTAAAAGCATTCGAAAAAAGACCTTAAAACGATTCAAACACATTTTGGAGACAGTTGGGAAACAGCATTAACAGTTCTAAAACATTTTAGTATGATTTTGATTGAAGGAAATGAAGCGAAACAAAAAGAAGTAAAATGAAATGAAAAGGAATAAAAAAGTAAAAGGAGATCAGGAGAAGTAGAAAGAAATGAAACAAACAAAAGGAATAAAAGGGAGAATAACAAACGAAACAGTTAAACAGATAAAGGAGAGAAATAAATCTACCATGGTACAGAAAGACGAAAATGCTTCGAAGTGCTAAACCCTAAACCCCAAATCCTCAGCAAAAGGGAAAAAGAAGCAAGTCGGAAAGTAAATGAATTAACAAATAATAAAGAAATAAATAAATAATAATAAACAAGTAAATAAGTAAGTTACTTAATGGTAAATATGCATGTACATAACAAGAAGCAAATAGTGAATGAATAAAGAGCTAATTCAATAACCAACCAATAAATGAACAATAACAAAAAATAAAAATAATAAATGGGCAAACAAACAAATAAATAAATAAATAAATAATAAACATACAAACGCATAAATAAATACATATTAATAAATAATAAATAAAAGCAGTTTTATTTGTTTTATCACTTGCTGCTGCAGCCGCAGCAGCTTTTCTTTCAGCTTATCCATTTCTCCTTTTCTTCCTGTGTCTGCCCCCTCTATAAATAAGTAGATAAGTAAATAACAGTAAACAGTGAACAAGTAAATGATAAATGAATATATAAATAGATAAATTAATAAATGAGTAAATACTAAATAAACAAATTGATAAAAATGTTAAGTAAGCGAATGAATCATGAATGACAAACTATACAAGAATAAATGAAAATGAGGACGCACATGAATTTAAAGACATATATAAAACAAAAAAATACGTAAATACAAAGAAATACATTAATATAAAATATATACCAAAATAAACAGACATATAGGAGCAATCAAACATAGAGATAAAACAAAATTAATCAATTAAAAAATTAAAGATGAACAGACAAATAGATGCTATTTAAAATAGAGTTAATGAGTGCATATGTAAGTACACCTGAAGAATACTGTTCCTAAAGCTAAATAACAAGGAGACAAAAGAAATAAAAAGAAATTAAAAGAAATTAAAAAAAATATTAAGAGAAATAAAAAAAGAAATAAGAAGAAATAAAAGTGAATAAAAAGAGAAATAAAGAGAATAAAAAGAAGCAAAAAAGAAAGGGAAATAGGCTGCCAAGAAAGTGGTTGGCCCAGTAGGTATCGGTATATTGTACGAAGATTTTTGTTTGCTGTTCTTGAAACAGAAGTGTTGATTCAATAAAGGTTTCTATCGAGCTCGCGACCCCAGAACCAATATTGCCGACCGCATCCAGGAAGTGGGCATTGATGAAACATTGTTCAGACGTTTCTGACGTCAGGGGAGGGTGGCTTTCACAAGAAGTGTTCCACTGCTCTATCGGAGATCTAGTTTTCGATAAGTGTTTTCTGCCACGTGAGCTGACAGTGAGAAGATGTATTTGAGCAGCGAGCCAATCTATCTAGACTTCTAATGCATATATTTGTGCTCACATTTGTGCTCACACTGGATGGTTGGTAAAGGAAACTCTTTTGCTGCTGAAATCAGCATTTGCGTAAATGGGATACTGCTTGCGCTCGTTGGAAACGTCGCTCGTGATGCATGACTGAAAGACTTCGTAGAATCCGTTAGCCACTGCAACCGAGGGGCGTCGCCTTGCTTCACAGACGGCACGTCAGCAGAACGTGGCCTTGCTGTACACGAATATATCTTATGGCTTTAGTGCGTATCATCCAAAGTTAGCTCATTTGTTTATCCAAAATAGCTCATTTGCTTACTCTTTTGCAGTCTTAACAATATGATTAGCATTAAGACTAAAATGTTTCTCTTGATGCGTGCGCAATCGAAGCGAGTAAGTGCATTATGTGTTTCTTCATTTTGCTTATTTTTCAAAAGTTCTTTTTCCTGCTTCAGCTGCTGCGTCACCGACTGGTTGTACGCGCTGGACCAGCTGCTGCAGCGAAGAGACGATTTCATTTTTATTTTATATTATTCCTTTTTCCTTCCAATTTTTGTTTCGTTCAGTCTATTTAAATCCGCTTTTTATTATTTCCTCTACTTCCCGTTCGCAAAATGTTTCAATTCAATACATTTAGTTGCTTTTTATTGCCGGAAACCAACCTCTAAACCCTTAACCCTAAAAACTGAAAGATACGCCGTAAATTCTAAACCCAAGTCCCAAATTTCAAACTCAAACTCCACGAAGTATCCAAGGCATTATGTGTTTCTTCATTTTGCTTATTTTTCAAAAGTTCTTTTTCCTGCTTCAGCTGCTGCGTCACCGACTGGTTGTACGCGCTGGACCAGCTGCTGCAGCGAAGAGACGATTTCATTTTTATTTTATATTATTCCTTTTTCCTTCCAATTTTTGTTTCGTTCAGTCTATTTAAATCCGCTTTTTATTATTTCCTCTACTTCCCGTTCGCAAAATGTTTCAATTCAATACATTTAGTTGCTTTTTATTGCCGGAAACCAACCTCTAAACCCTTAACCCTAAAAACTGAAAGATACGCCGTAAATTCTAAACCCAAGTCCCAAATTTCAAACTCAAACTCCCAACACTGAATCCAAAGCCCGCTTCCATAAACCCTACACCCTAAACCCTAAATCCTTAACCCTAAACCCTAAACCCTTAACCCTAAACCCTGTAGTCTGAACCCTAAACCCTAAGACGTGGGCGCTAGTCCCTGTTCCCTGATGCTCCTAATCGACAAGGGTATTCATTGAATTTGTGTGTAATTAAATTTGTGTAGTCACATTTGTTGTAGTAGCTGTTCAAATAAGAAGAAATTCATAAAAAATAAAGCAGTGTAAACTGCGTGATTCTACAAATGCATGTTCAAAAAACTCTTTGAATGGCGGCTATAAAGAAGTGTTGTCTGTTTCAATACTGGACATTTACTCACTTACTGAATAACAACGAGGCC